TTCATTTGCTAACTGTCTCTTCCCATTCATTTTGAAAATACTTGATAAAAGCACATTTATTTAGAAATTCCATCCATAAAATATTTGATAAATTACCTAATCTCAACTTATGGTTTGTTCTTGAATTTTTTCTCATAGCCAAACAATTTGATTGTGGCATTCCATGAGCTATACTCTCGTTGAAAAAACATTATGCTCACAATTAAATAATAGATTAAGCACTTCACCAATTTACTGCCAAGGTTCTGATTTATTAGTTATTGAAATCATGAATACTAAAAGTTAATTTATAGTGCAATTATTAAAACAAGAAACATTAACAACTCCCATGTAAAATTTGATAAAGATGATACTTACAAATATTAATATACAGCCCTCTTCAAATCCAACTATATGTTGTGTGTTATACTTGCAATGCATTCAATTTAATGAAATTTGGCTAAATGTTAAACCAGTCCCCTCATAGAACAAATTTAAAGCAAGTGTTGACATTTTATTTAGAGTTTTAAGATCCACTGGCCATGTTGAAAAAAAATTAAGCATGCAGGCAGGTGAGAGACTGCAGGTTAATGTCAGGGATTAAACGATTATCAACTGCAACGCAATAAACGATTGCCAGCTGGAATGCAATAATTAGTTGCTAGTGAAGAATCTTCATTGTTTAAAAGAAACTTATCTTTTTCATAAGAAAGGGAAAAACAATTAAGGTTTAAAAAGCTTGCCGCTATTCAAACTTCCATAACCTAATTTTGTTCTATCCATGTAAAATAATCTTATGTTGTGGAACAGTCATTATCCTAGTCTCTTCCAGGAGGACTATGAAACGATTTCCTGGACTCCGCCACAAACCATGGCCGATCTTTGACAGGCTTCTTCGACTCCTCCACAACGCTGGCAGATTGAGCGCTGCAAATCGATCCCAGCAGTGTCGGGCATGGCCCTTGTTGTTCCGCTCGCATACTAGCATTTGGGGGAGAACCTCCGGCTGGCCTTCGTAGATTTGGCGACAAGGACGACGAAGGCGAGGAGCCGGGTGATGCAAACGGAGTAGCAAACGGCGTGCTAGTCGACACTCGATTCTGGAACGAGATCGTGTGAATCTTCCGAGCTGTTGGTAACGCTGCGTTTGTTTTTGATCCCAGTTGGCTTCCGCTGCTGTCTTGGTTCCTCTTTGTCATGTCCGCTATGTACAGCACGTCGTCAATCCGAGAGAGAATGCTGTATGCCAGACTCTCCAAAACTCTCGAGTAGCTCTCGAGAATTGCCTGGCCAACATCCTGTTGCAAACGAAGTAGGAGTAATTTATACAATCGGCTCCATAAAAGAAAGAACAGACCTTGTTGTACTGGATCTTGTTGACGTCCAACACTGTTTGTGGCAGTCCCGGAAATCTCTGCCTCAGGCATAGAAGAAGGCTGTCAGCTCTCTCGATCAACAACTGCCTTTTGTCTCCACACTCGGCCACCAAGTCCCTCACTTTCAACCATGAGTATCTCGAACTGCCGTTGCTTTTGCTTTTGCCTTCCTTGTGAGAGCCGGACGACTCCTTTTTTCTCCAGATGTGCAAAGCCGACTGGATGCGGTTTGCAACCTCCAAAGCACTGTGCTCCGTGGACAAGTCTAGAGACGAGAGGAGTGCGTCTGGAGAAAAGTGTTCTTGCCTCAGACCATAGTATATTGTATCTCCCAGATTCGCTCGCGCGCTCTACGACACACATGGAGCAATAAAATCTTTTGCGTCAAGTCGCTAAAGTTGAAAACACCAGGCACCAAACCACCAACTATGATAAATGAAAGAAAAGAAAGAAGTTACCTTTGGAAGAGAGTCCCAGTAAACGTCGGGTACTTGCATCTCCGAAAGGACCTGCTCGTTGATCGCCATGGCTGCCTTGAGGATCTGGTTCGTGCAATCCCGCTGATTCTGTAACGCCTTACGGGACTTCTCCGAGAGACCACCCGTAGGAATCTTCGGGACCGGCAGCCACCACTTATCCTCCTCCCTCTTTGTAGCCACGGATTTTTGCTGCTGGTTCTTGGATGAAATATCTACCGACACTCCTTGGTCCACATACCAAAAGTCAGTCTCCTTGTAGCTGTCGAGTGCCTCCTGTGAGAGACAAAAGAAGTAGCGACCTGAACCATTTTTGTGAAACTCAATGTGACGAACAAACTGGGATCTTGATGAGTATGGCCGAGGATGACCTTACCAGTAGCATCGCGTCCAGCTTCCGAAGAGCTGGTAGATTGATATGAAGGTCCGAGCGCGGCCTGCTGATCATGACCTTTACGAAAACAATGAGATAAACAACAATGCGTTAGTTTATATGATCCATCATAATGGCGACAAAAATCTGCACACGCACACTCACCTCTAGACTGGTACCATCTGTGACGCTGTGAAAAGATGGAACGAACTCCACAATGTGATCGCAGACCGAGAGAATCCAATTCATCTCTCTTTGCCAAAGTAACTTACGTTCATGGGACAAAGGCTCCAATCTCCAAAGCTCGCCAAACACCGAAGCTATAGAAGAGAGAAGAATTAAAACTTACACAAGGAAAAATAAAAGAAAGAAACGAGGAACACACACGTACCAGCGAGATTGGTGAGCGCATTGGAGATTGCCAGAGCCGTGCAAACTCCTTTGCCACTGCCGGACATGTCCTCTCCAAGAAGTAGCTTGGAGAATCGTTCTTTCATCATCTCAATCTCTTTGAAAGAAGGAAAAATAGAAGAAAGAACCATCAGAAAAAACGTAGAAGAGATTCTCGGGAGAGAAAGCAACCGATCGAGATCACATACCTGGCGTTTTATTCTTCGCCATCGCGGCAGATCTTCCATCGCTCCATCCGACGTTGCTGCTCTCGGCGGATCTCGGCGAGGAGGGCATCACGACCGCGGCGGTGCCGAAATATCCGAGCTCCTCGCGAGAATTCGGCACCGGCGAGAGCTTGAGATGGCTGCGCTGGTGGCGGCCGAGCGGCCAGCCTAGCGGCGAGCGCTCATCGTCGTCGGAGCTGCTGACCTCGTTGCTGAGAATCTGGCGCTCGCAGATCAAATCGATGGGGCTGCCTGCCAGGTCGGCGTCGTAGCGATCATGCGAGCTCCGGCTCAATCCATCGATGCTGGTCGTGCAGCTCGCCCTGTCGATGCTGTGCTGCTCCTCGTAGCTGAAGATCGCGCTGTCGGATCGAATCAAGAGCCCCTTGGCCTTGTCCATGCCTGAAATCTCATCAATCTCATCAAATTCTTCCCTGTTGCTCCTCCAATTCATCCATGCACCAGCTCCAATGCCGGCGATTCCACCCCAGCGATTCCAACGAGACGAGGAGAACAGAGCGTTAAGGGAGGAGAAAGAGCGGCCATGGCGGCACCTATCACTGTTTACCACGTGGCGGCGCATTCCATTCCGGAAAGAAAGACATCAAGGGGCCTACATCCAACGGCTGGGAGTTCGCAAATCTATGTAGAGTAAATAGCAAAAGTAAGAAAGTAATAAGTAATTATTCGATGCAAAAGTCTTTGATTTTATTTTAGGGTTCTAAGGAGGAAGGCGATGGCGCCCGTGGCGCCGCCTGCGTTCGAGGAGGCTGCGCACTGCGCTATCTGTGGCTGCGGCTTTGGCACATTCAAGCGCCGGGTAAGTCTGCTGGATTTCCTTGATTCTCGAGCTAGAAATTCGTAATTGATCGCATTTTCGTGCACAGCATCACTGTCGCGCTTGCGGGAGAACTCTGTGCAACGAGCACTCTTCGAATCAGATGGTAAGAGCTCGATCGCCACTTTTCCTCCATTGTTTGTTCTTTTCTGTGAATGACGATAAAAGTGTAGGCTCTTCCACAATTTGGCTTGCACGGGCCAGTGAGGGTCTGCAAGGATTGCTTCACAGCAGGCGACACGAGGCAAGCATTTTCTTTTGATTTTCTTCAAGTGTACGTTTGCTTGACGTTTCTCTACTTTTTAATCCAGTGTTCCAGCCTTAGAAGAGGGTGATGGAGTCGTTACAAGGGAGCCGTCTGAGAATGACTCGTTGGTGCCGGAGTTTTCTAGTCTCAATCTCAACGAGGCCACGGTACCAGCTACAGTTCCCGCCAATGAGTCGACTTCCACAGTTCCCACGTTTGAATGCAAGTGTGGAATGCCTCTTTGCATCTGCAGCGCTCCAGAACCAGAAGCACCAAAGGTATGTCTTTTTCCACAATGCTTTTGACGATTGCCTTATCGCGATAAGACCAGGTCTCGCCTCAAGTCTCACAATCAGCCAGTAGTTCCAGAAGCAAGAAAACGGCCACCACATCTCTTCCAACAAGGCAAGATCAACCTCGACCTTTGCCTGTGAAACAATCTCCAAGGTAACTTGAGGCAAGCTGGAGAAGTGCGACTAACCAATACTTATATCACAGCTTATTTTTCACGGGTGGACAAAGCGTCAAGGCCGAGGATCATGCCCCCTGTCGAAGTTACGATATCAGCGGCGAGGTATTTTAATAATATTGTACGTACTTTTTCCTTATGAATGTTTTATTCACTCAACTGTGATTGAAAGGGAATACGGGAGGCCATTAAGAACGGGGATGCAGGTGCTGTACAGAATCTCCTTTCCAAAGTAAGATGCCATTTCAATCTGATTTCTTGTTTGATAGTTTCAAAACTTGCAAGGGCGTGGATGCCAAATACACGGATAAGCAAGGCATGTCACTGCTGCACTTGGTAATGCACGTTGTTTTTCTCAATTTTCTTCTTGACTTAACGACTTTTTTTCAGGCAGCCGTGTTTAACTTGACAGAGATAGCCTTCATGCTTTTGGACTCTGGAGCAGATGCCTATTCCAGAAACTTGCAGGGTACCAATGTACAATCTTTACTGTTAGCTAGCTGCCTAAAAACCGATCGTGCAGGAGAGACACCCTTGGACTGCGCGCAAACGACTTTACAACTAAAGCTCCTGGAAAAGCTCGCAAGAAGTTGAAAGGCATTTGATTTAAAAGAGAACAATCGTACGCCAGAGAAATAATAAGGTAGCTCTGTTTACCTCATTTCATCTTTCAACTTTTATTTGTGAAAAAGCCGGTGTTAGATCTACAAACTTTGCTTCTTCTACTGCCTAGGCGAATTCCAGAGGAAACCATCTGCTTTGGCTCCTCCAGAGCGATCGAATAACAGGAAGCAGTCCAAGCAGAGCTAGCTGGATCCGATCAGTGCTATTCACCTTGATCGATATCTGTCCGGTTCCTCGATTGTTGGCGTTGCCGCGCACCACCATCGCCGTTCCACCCAAGTGGATTTGCGAGTGTAAGTTGATTCCATATGCAATATCCTTTGCTGTCCAGTTCATGACTGACAATCCCAGCGTGCAGTTTGTTCGATCCACGGGATAGTCGGGCCCGACCACCGTCGCTTCCATGATCGCTCCGTAAGCTTTGTCACCCCGGGTGAGTGAAGTAGCCCCGCTCATCAGGATCTTTGCTCGCTTTCCTATCACCACCTTGTCTTCCAGTCTCACTCCGACCACCGCGTTCTCTCCGACCATTGTGACCCCCATTCCCGCCAGCGTCTTGTTACACTCGTGGTTCTTGAACGTCGTCCCTCCCCACAGGCTGTAGCAAACGTCCCTTCCCACCGTCTGGATGTCGAGCCCTCCGGTAGAAACTCTGTTGGGTCCGTGCTTGATTGCTGCTGAGCCATCGAAAGTTACGTGGTACTCTTTCTTGTCCATGACGATCTGTCCCGAGACTGACACTGGGATGTTCTTAGCGAGGTGGAAAGATCTGTCCAAGTTGGCGGAGTTGAACCCGTTCTCGTGATCCCACCGCGAGTCGAGCACCGGGCGGACATTCCAGGACGCATCATCGACGTAGCGGTACCGGTGGCTTGGATCGTCCGAGCTGAAGCTCGTCGGGAGCGCGAAGTCGGGGGAGATCCCGGGGGCCATGTCGCGGTGCTGCTGCTGCTCGTCCTCGCCGTCCTCCACGCCCCTGTTCTTCATCTCCCGCCACCTCCGGCACTGCGTCTTCCACAGCTTCCGCTTGAACAGCTTCTCCCGCAGCGCGAGCTCCTCGAAGTACGACTGCCGGTTGTCCTCGTCCAGAGCGTCCAGTTCGTCCTGGAGCAGCCGGCGGAAAGGTGGCAGCTGATCAAACTCGGCCTCTCCATCCTCGTCCTCGTCCGGATCCACCTCGCCATACTCCTCCTCGTCCGGCTGCTGGACCTCGGATCGAGCCTGCAGCATCGACGCCAGCAGCACCGGCATTGGCGAGCCACTCCGCCGCTCGCACAGCCTCGTCAGCGGCATGCTCTCCGGGAGCTTGAGGTACGTGTTGGCCTCGGCCAGGATCCGGGCCGAGAAGCACAGCAACAGGAGCTCGGGCCGCCACACCATCCCGTTTGGAAGAACTCTCTCGCCGGCTCGGTTGGTTCGACACGCCGGGTGGTTCTCGATGAGCGTCACCGGGTTGAGCAGCCGGGTATCGCCCACGGCCGATCGGACAGTCTGCTGGAACATCCGGGTTCTCTGGCCAACGTAAGAATCATACCGTAGCGGAAAACCATCGGGTCCATCGGGTGGCGACGAAGCTCCGTGCGTCAAGACGATGATCGCGTTGAACCAGATGGCCGGGCCGAAGCGATCGCCAATGTAGCGCATGAGCGCCGCGTCCTTGCTCTGGGAATCCAAGCGATCCACGTAGAGGACAATGTCGGGTGGGTTCCTGCGAATGCAGCGCTTGATCGAGGCCACCACGCGCTCGTTGTAGCGCCGGTCGGCCATGCTCGCGGAGAGCCCCGGCGTGTCGATCACTCTCATCCGGATCCCCTTCATGGTTCCATCGATCACTTCCACCTTGTTGGTGCCGCTGGAGAAGGCGCTGGTGCTCGCCATGGGCTTGCCGAAGATGGAGTTGACGGTGGCGCTCTTGCCCACCCCGGATTTGCCCAGGAGCAAGACGGTGCAGCAGAAATCCAGCTCCTCGTCGCGCGAGGAGGCCTCCTCCTCCATCGCCACCGCGCAGGCCTTGTCGTAGCCGCTGGTGCTGTTGCGCATCTTGCCGCCCTTGAGCTGCTCCGCGAGGGCGAAGCGGTAGAGGACTTGCGCGGCAATGCCATTGTCCGCGGATTGGCCCAGGCGGTGGACGAGGCGCACGAACTTGACGCGGATGTCCTGGAGCTTCTCGCACAGGATCCTCGTCTTCTCTTCGGTGTTACCTTGCGTGATGGATCGGACGATGCCGGCGAGCTTGGACGTGACGGAGGAGGGCGCCTGGGAGACCGCTGCTGCCGATGCCGCCGCGGCTGGGGCGGACAATGGCGCTACCAGTGCCCTGTCCGCGGCCTCCATTGGATCCGGTGGGAGAGACCCGCTAGAACCCTAAAACATTGGTTCCTCGCATTGCCTGGGAAAATATCTCGCGGTGCTTTCCTCGCCACGTCTTGGATAAGGTAGATATTTTTATGAAGAATGTTAAATGGATTTACTTTTATAATTATTCTAGTATATTCTGTAAGAGTTGAAAAACTGGAATAAACATGAAAAAATATTTTGGAATGCAAAAGTAACTTGTGCTAGAAAATAAGCCAATCATACAAAAAAACACTTGCCATAGCTATAATTATATAAAACATGTTTAAGTAAATCCATTTTGAAATGGATTTACTTCTATAGTCATTCGAGCATATTCTGTAAGAGTTATAAACCCTATTTGTTGACCAACACAAACTTACGAAGATCCTTCCATCTGGTCCGAGCCTCACAAATTCAACTGGGATCTCGTGGATTTGATTCCAACAACTGAAAGAAACACACAACATCACTAGACCTCGATGTCGTATACGCGGCGAGCCAGGAGCTTGGCCATGGAAGATGTTTCACACTCCTTGTTGTGCTCAAGGAAGCGTTCCTTGAACTCCTCGTCGTCAGTGGGCACCGCAGCCAGGCTTGCTGCAATCTCTTCCAGTGACATCCCGCGGTTGTCCAGGAAGCCCCGCCGCAATCTCGACATCCTCGCCATGTAGCAGCCGCGGCTCTCTGGCTCAAAATTCATTGGCGTCACGTAGCGTACTGTGTACCTCGCCGGGTCGGCGAGCTTGCCCAAGTATTTGCTCACTTCACCCTGCATCTCGAGGACGTAGAAGGTGGAGGGAGGCTGGCCCTGCAGCTGCCGCTCGGCTCGAGCGGACCCCTCACGAATCGCCTTGTCTATAAACCCATGCATGAGCAACAAAGAACATCGAGAGTGCACTCACATGATCCGCTATCCGGAAGGGGTTCGACAGGAAGCTCTGAATAGCTGAGCCACAGCCGCGCGTCTAACACGGCAATATAGACGTTCTCCAGGTGTGTAAGGTAAGGGCACACAGTAATAAGAGAAGCAAGCCTTCCGCCACGGTCACTCAGATCTAGCAGGAGCTGCTCCAGCTCCCCTGCACTTACAGTCCCTGTTGTTTCATTGCTTTTTGTCAGTATTTTGATCTGGCTACCAGGGAAACATACATCGCTCGAGCGACATCCGTTCTGTGTTGCCGCGGGGGATTTCATCAAGCAAGAAATCCAGCTTTGATGACCACCACCCCTGGTGTTGATCTTTATACCGTGCATATGGGTTCCTTTCCTCCAGGCCCTACAGCAGCCAATTAAACTCTACAGCGAGAACACAGTGTGTACCTTGGGGTACTCCTCCAGGTTGAAACTGGGTACGTATTTCTCCATGTACCACGCCTGGACTGTCTCGAACAGAGCTCCACCCTCCACAGACTGGAAGCAACTGTACCTGAAGGAGGAGATGACCCTCCGCAACTCGAGCGTCGCATCCACGGCTTCTCTCAAGCCCGGCGGCGCGGCCCTACGCTTGAAGAGGCGATCCACTTCCTCCTGCTCCTCCATATGGCCAACCCTAAAAGGTGTTCAGCCGAGAGAGAATGTTTTAACGGTCCCTGCGACATGCCAAGGCATCGTCCCCATCCGTACATAAAACTGGAATTGCGAAATCTGAGAAGAACGATGAGGAAGTATCAAAAAGATAAAAGGAGAGCGAAGAACATTGAGCGCAGACCACAAAATTCATGCGCCTCCTCCCACGGGTCTCCAAAGCGCCAGTGACGGCCTTCCGGTTGGCCTGAGAAGGAAGAAGCTAGCGTTTGATCAGTTTTAAAGTTCTCTAGAGGTGTTACCAGGATCTTCTCTCGATCTTCGAGAGCGTCATTTCTACTGACTCGATGCGTCCAGTGCCGCCGCAGCACCCGCAAGAATCAGTGACACTCAGCCGGTCCTGAAAGCTCCATATCAAGTCAACTAGAGATACCCGTGCTCTCGTCATTTCCATGAGTCCGAACTCTGAAATTTCCAAGATAACAACTTTAGATCGGTCCCGCTCAATGGCCTTGCACTTTCATGACCTGCAGATATACCACAATATCTCAGCTCGCTGACAAAGTTTGGATTCTAGAAGCTTACTTGGACCCTCCGTGTCAACAACTATAATCCCACCAATGCCCCGTAGCCTCTGTCGCAATCTGCACAGAGAGTTTTTACCTGTCGAGGAGCAGCGAGATTTACTTCTAAGAACACACAGAAATATAAGTTCCCTGATTACGTCCAAAAGTCTTCACCTTTTGGTATGTTTGAGACGAATCCCGACAAGCGTTTCAACCTGTATATACTCGCTCAAAAAACGAAGACAGCATACTATGAAAAACCTTATTGTTGAAGAGATCACCTGAGTACCTGCCCCATGGCCCTTTGCAATAACACAGGGACTGGGTCTTTTCAACCACCACCACCAGCAACCTCCGCTGTCTCCACACGTCTCCATGAGGCGTGCCAAATCCTTCTTGAGCTCTTCACGACTGCGGCCAACAGCCTCAGTCCTCACGGTAAGACCAAATGCAGCTCTCTGGCAAGTTGCTTGAGCCGACTTCTTTCCAGCCTGTTGATCTTGCGAGTAACTCCAATGGTCGAAGCTTGAGGAAGCAATACTTGCACTACATCTCTTAACTTCAATACTTCGAGACACTTACCCAGTATCGTCCCGCCAAAGTCACAGTTGCAGTCAGCTGTGGTCCTTTCTGCCGAAGAGCCTCCTCCTTAACTCGTTGACTTCCCTCCAGGCACCTATCTTCTGCAGGACAGTAGCCTGCAAGCTGCTTGACGACGCCAAGCCAACTTGGAAGTTTAGTTGACAGGAGCTTCTTGTTCTCGACGACCTCGATTGGTTGCATGGTGCACGGAAGTTGATGAGCTATGTTGCGAGGTTCCGGAACTTCTGGCTCTCGCTCAGGATAATGTTCTCGAGCAGCCATGTCTCTTTCCGCTTTGGAAAGAATCTAAAATTTCGGGGACTTGGTCGTGGCGTCAGTCCAGAAACTTGCCTGATCATCTTCCAAAAACCTTTTGATCCGTGAAACTCTTGCAAAGCCGCCAGAAACGGGTCTTCTTCTCCTCTCGAGGAGAGTTCTAACTTCCGAGGGCGAAGTGTCATGTGTCGGCACCCGGACAACGTAAGAGTTCGCACCTAGAAACTCTAGAATGAATGAATCAAGCTAGTGAAAATCTCTAAAAATCACGGACGAACCTGTAAGCCATTTGGAGCTTCAACGATCCATCATCTTTTCCCACGAACCGGCACAGGACCTGTGAGAGTTCTCCAAACTCTCTGTAAGCCTGCGCCAGTCCATGGAAAAACGATCCTAGATGGATTAGAATGACGAGGAAACTCAGAGCAAAGTTGTTCTCTATCGGGACAACGGCCGGTGTTGTGTTAGTGGAGATCACTATATCTTCAACTATTCTCATTTATCTGTTTTTTCCATGCTTCTGTGACTATGAGCAATCCTTTTTTTTTTCTTTTTGTTTTCGTTATGTTGATTGATCAATCTTTTATTTTCTTTTGCAGGTGCTAGTGGCAGACGTGAACATTGGATACGAGGACATTGTCAACAGTTGTTAAAGTTTGCTCTCCCGCTGAAAACTTATGTGGGCTTTGGCACACCAAGTACTGGGATTCAATGACACGAATGTCGAGAACTTGAAGCATTTAGCAAATATGGTGGAAAGCTGAAAAGAGGAATTTGTAAAATTTGATCTCAACCATCAACAGGTTCCATATGGATTCCCGGTTCTCGGGATTTATATTTTATACGTTAAATAATACGTTATTTAGTACGTTAAGTAATACAACAAAATAAAATATTAGATTAGTAAGGATTTAAAAATTGCAAGCAACACAACTAATGAGATACACTCGTCCAGACACTAAGAATTCTTTTGGATTTTGCTGATGGAAACTCGTTTTAATTTGTGAGTTAGGTAAATGAATCTCCTCAAAGGTAAATGAAGCAACAGGGAATTATAATTCTATTTTTTTGGGGTATATGTTTTCTTTCCCCATCTCACTCCACCATATATCAGTATTTCCACTTTCGTGAGGGTTTGGGTGTGCTTGATTTGGATCAAGCAAGAGAAATTGGATATCGCCTTTCATTGATTATGATAACTGGAATACCTCCATATACAAGCACAACACAGGAAGGGTCTACCTTTTCTGCAGAAATCCGAGTTAATATGCAATTGTTAAATCTTGCATTCTACTTTTTTAGTGCACGCGACCTCACTCTACAATGCTATATAGCATTGGCACCTCCAACTACAAGGGTTTCTAACAATTTAATCCACTTAACACTTGGAGATACCATGGACCGAATTGCTGATGAAATTCTTAATTTTCGTCCTGCCCTTGGCTTTGTGGTAATTGTTACTGATATTGGGGTGTTTGGAGTCTCTTACCTGATCCGCAATTATGTAAGACCAAACATTGGCACTAATGAAATTCCAAGCAGGATCAATCTTCAATCTTGCAACCCTTTCTCGGCCATGCTTATTAGTGGTACGAGGATTAACCCCTTTTCAAGACTTGGTCCTGGGGATCAAATTCATTTAGGAGGGCATACACAAATTGGAGTAATTGTATTGTTCATGGATTATACTTGCAACTTGATTATCTACATATATACTACTAGCAAGTCACTTTGGACCTCTGAAACTCATGGATTGGGGTTCGATTGCTGGGTGCTCATGCAAGAAGATGGAAACCTGGTAGTTTATGGATCTCTTGGAACATCATTTTGGTCAAGCTTTTCTTTTTGTGTGCCTTCTCCTGCATGCATTGCTCCATCATTTGTTGCTCTTGGACCCAGATGCAGGGTTGGTCTGTATAGATATGGTGCTCCAGCAGTTGAAGTCTGGTCACCAGGTGATTTTTGCTAAATTCACATAAAAAGTGCTTTGAATAAATTTTAAAGAATAAAATGTGAACTAAACCATTGGAAGTGCTTGATGTCTTGCAATTTTGCTAGTTTGGTAGAATTTTCCTCTTCCATGCATGCGTTATGGATCGCCATTCTCGCGAGCGTCACCACTGGGCTTCGACGCATTCCTTGGCCGATGAATACTGTTTGAAGGGACACTACTTCTTTCACAGGGAGGAAGACTCGGCTTGCAAGGGAAAGAGGCTACTGGAGCCTTTTCGGTGCAGCAATCTGTGGATTTCATCTCTTTCGAGGCAGGGAGAAGAAGGGTCGAGCGCGCCATGCTTGCATCCAGCGCGGGTTTGGCCTATTTCCTTAGCAACTTATTTCGATTCGAGGTAAGCTTCTCTCTTCTCAATTCTTACTCCACAGTCTTACTTTGGATGCTTCTTTCTGCTTCCTATTGTCATCTTCGGGGCGTGGCCACTGGTCGCAAAACAATGAATGTTTTCATCTTTGCTGTATTCGAATTACATTTGTTCTCTAGGCGATCACAGCCTTGCTTCTTCACGTCATTGCTGGACTCTTTCTTACGTCGTACACAGATTTGGATATCTCACAGAACTTTTGGAATTCTTCGTCTAGTTGATGCACGGATTTCTCGGCGTTGCCATGGGTGCTTTGTGGAGTCGCTCGCTCGCTTGCTAGATTTCCATTTTCTAACACGTTGCTGCTCAGATGGAGAATCAACTGGAGCGTCTTGATCCTTGCTTGTACACTGGTATGCACGAAACTCTTTGCTTTTGGCTCGATGTTCTCACTGTCTGGAGTTGCAGGTCCGTGCTGTTGGAGCGATTGGCTTTGTGTTTCTGTGCTCTTGGCTGGTCAAGGATAACACCCTCAACTTGGTACAAAGAAATTCATTTGGCTTACCTTGACCAAATGTTCCTCTTCTTTTGCAGATCACCATAGACACCCATGCTTCGCTCTCGTACATGGTGGCCGCAGTGGGGATCAATATCTCGCTTACCTCGCTTACAATGCCGACCATCTATGCTGTGTTCACGTCCTTGGTAAAGTTTCTCCCAGTTTTAGAGCGCCTCTAGCTTATCGTGAACTGCGCATCGCTTGTTTTCCTCCTCCATGTTTTGTACGCGATGATAGTTCAGGGCCTGGGAATCAAGTCGTCACTGGCGGTTCCTGGCTGGATGTCGAGATCCATGTAAAATCAAAGGATGCTTACCCGGAATTCATCCTTTTGTACAGACACCATTTCTGGCGTTGATATAAAAATCGGGGATGGTGAAAATTCCAGCTTTAAGTTAGAGCACGTTCTCTCTGTTTATCAAGAACGATGCCCAAGCCTCGCTCGAAGGAGCTACAGGCTGAACCCAGTGACCAGGAGTTCGGCTGGGGCGGACAATGGCGCTACCAGTGCCCTGTCCGCGGCCTCCATTGGATCCGGTGGGAGAGACCCGCTAGAACCCTAAAACATTGGTTCCTCGCATTGCCTCGCACGTCTTGGATAAGGTAGATATTTTTATGAAGAATGTTAAATGGATCTACTTTTATAATTATTCTAGCATATTCGGAAGTATGTTTAAGTTACTTTCACCTCGTAAGATATGAAGTTTATGTTCGTTAACAAATAGGGTTTATATTATGGAATCTAATTAAAATGATTTCTGTATACTGTTATTAAAGTGATCCGGATATTAAATCAAACTCTCCAACAATGTTCAATCCTTTTCCTGTAAAGCCTATGTAACAGTTTTCTTGCTCACCTCCTCCTGTACTTGCCTCTTGCTGTCAAGTTGCGTGGGTATTTTTGAGGATTTGTGGTCCTCATATGATATGTTAAGTCATCTTATACTCCTCTGGGGACCGTTAAAACATTCTCTCTCGGCTGAACACCTTTTAGGGTTGGCCATATGGAGGAGCAGGAGGAAGTGGATCGCCTCTTCAAGCGTAGGGCCGCGCCGCCGGGCTTGAGAGAAGCCGTGGATGCGACGCTCGAGTTGCGGAGGGTCATCTCCTCCTTCAGGTACAGTTGCTTCCAGTCTGTGGAGGGTGGAGCTCTGTTCGAGACAGTCCAGGCGTGGTACATGGAGAAATACGTACCCAGTTTCAACCTGGAGGAGTACCCCAAGGTACACACTGTGTCTTTCTCTCGCTGTAGAGTTTAATTTGCTGCTGTAGGGCCTGGAGGAAAGGAACCCATATGCACGGTATAAAGATCAACACCCAAAGGCTACGGAGGGGTGGTGGTCATCAAAGCTAGATTTCTTGCTTGATGAAATCCCCCGCGGCAACACAGAACGGATGTCGCTCGAGCGATGTAAGTTTCCCTTGTAGCCAGATCAAAATATTTACAAGAAGCAATGAAACAACAGGGACTGTAAGTGCAGCGGAGCTGGAGCAGCTCCTGCTAGATCTGAGTGACCGTGGCGGAAGGCTTGCTCCTCTTATTACTGTGTGCCCTTACCTTACACACTTAGAGAACATCTATATTGCCGTGTTGGACGCGCGGCTGTGGCTCAGCTATTCAGAGCTTTCTGTCGAACCCCTTCCGGATAGCGGGTCATGTGAGTGAGCCTTCAGCACTCTCGATGTTCTTTGTTGTTCATGCATGGGTTTATAGACAAGGCGATTCGTGAGGGGTCCGCTCGAGCCGAGCGGCAGCTGCAGGGCCAGCCTCCCTCCACCTTCTACGTCCTCGAGATGCAGGGTGAAGTGAGCAAATACTTGGGCAAGCTCGCCGACCCGGCGAGGTACACAGTACGCTACGTGACGCCAATGAATTTTGAGCCAGAGAGCCGCGGCTGCTACATGGCGAGGATGTCGAGATTGCGGCGGGGCTTCCTGGACAACCGCGGGATGTCACTGGAAGAGATTGCAGCAAGCCTGGCTGCGGTGCCCACTGACGACGAGGAGTTCAAGGAACGCTTCCTCGAGCACAACAAGGAGTGTGAAACATCGTCCATGGCCAAGCTCCTGGCTCGCCGCGTATACAACATCGAGGTCTAGCGATGTTGTGTGTTTCTTTCAGTTGTTGGAATCAAAACAAGAAAAATATCTGCTTTTCTTGCGACATGCCATACATAAAACTGGAATTGTTCCTTGCGTCGAGTTCGTTTCTCACTTGGATTCTCCTCCCAGGAAATCTGAGAAGAACGATGAGGAAGTATCAAAAAGATAAAAGGAGAGCGAAGAACATTGAGCGCAGAGCATGCGCCTCCTCCCACGGGTCTCCAAAGCACTATTGACGGCCTTCCGGTTGGCCTGAGAAGGAAGAAGCTAGCGTTTGATCAGTTTTAAAGTGCTCTAGAGATGTTACCAGGATCTTCTCTCGATCTTCGAGAGCGTCATTTCTACTGACTCGATGCGTCCAGTGCCGCCGCAGCACCCGCATGAATCAGTGACCCTCGAGGTGACACTCAGCCGGTCCTGAAAGCTCCATATCAAGTCAACTGTCACGAAGAAAACTGATAAACAACAAGATGAGATACCCGTGCTCTCGTCATTTCCATGAGTCCGAACTCTGAAATTTCCAAGATAACAACTTTAGATCGGTCCCGCTCAATGGCACTTTCATGACCTGCAGATATCCCACAATATCCCGGCTCGCTGACAAAGTTTGGATTCTAGAAGCTTACTTGGATCCTCCTTGTCAACAACTATAATCCCACCAATGCCCCGTAGCCTCTGTCGCAATCTGCACAGAGAGTTTTTACCTGTCGAGGAGCAGCGAGATTTACTTTTAAGAACACACAGAAATATAAGTTCCTTGATTACGTCCAAAAGTCTTCACCTTTTGGTATGTTTGAGACGAATCCACGACAAACGTTTCAACCTGTATATACTGGTTCAAAGAACGAAGACAGCATACTATGAAAAACCTTATTGTTGAAGAGATCACCTGAGTACCTGCCCCATGGCCCTTTGCAACACAGGGACCGGGTCTTTTCAACCACCACCACCAGCAACCTCCGCTGTCTCCACACGTCTCCATGAGGCGTGCCAATTCCTTCTTGAGCTCTTCACGACTGCGGCCAACAGCCTCAGTCCTCACGGTAATACCAAATGCAGCTCTCTGGCAAGCTACTTGAGCCGACTTCTTTCCAGCCTGTTGATCTTGCGAGTAACTCCAGTGGTCGAAGCTTGAGGAACCAGTACCTGCACTACATCTCTTAACTTCACACATTCTTTCTCTAATACTTCGAGACACTTACCCAGTATCGTCCCGCCAAAGTCACAGGTGGTCCTTTCTTCCGAAGAGCCTCCTTCTTAACTCGTTGACTTCCCTCCAGGCACCTATCTTCCGCAGGACAGTAGCCGGCTTTACGCTTGTCTTCCATCGATCTGTTCCATCTCCTCCCCGTTTGGATCGTCCACAGTTTCTTCACTTTGCTGTTTCTCAAACTATCCTCCTCGTTCCCCTGAGCTTTATCGTCAACGGGATTTTTGTGGAGATTGGATCTTCTAAGACGGCATTTCTGGAAGTTAACATGCAGTAATACCTGCAAGCTGCTTCACGACGCCGAGGTAGACGTTGCCAACTTGGAAGTTCAGTTGACAAGAGCTTCTTGTTCTCGACGACCTGCACGGAAGTTGATGAGCTATGTCACGAGGTTCCGGAACTTCTGGCTCTCGCTCAGGAAAATGCTCTCGAGCAGCCATGTCTCTTTCCGCTTTGGAAAGAATCTAAAATTTCGGCCACTTGGTCGTGGCGTTAGTCCGGAAACTTGCCTGATCATCTTCCAAAAACCTTTTGATCTGTGAAACTCTTGCAAAGCTGCCAGAAACGGGTCTTCCTCTCCTCTTGAGACATGGAGAGTTCTAACTTCCGAGGGCGAAGAGTCGTATGTCGGCACCCGGACAACGTAAGAGTTCGCACCTAGAAACTCTAGAATGAATGAATCAAGCTAGTGAAAATCTCTAAAAATCACGGACGAACCTGTAAGCCATTTGGAGCTTCAACGATCCATCATCCTTTACCACGAACCGACACAAGACCTGTGAGAGTTCTCCAAACTCGCTGTAAGCCTGCGCCAGTCCATGGAAAAACGATCCTAAGATCATGAGCCAGAGAAAAGTCTAGATGGATTAGAATGACCAGGAAACTCATAGCAAAGTTGTTCTCTATCGGGACAACGGCGGGTGTTGTGTTAGTGGAGATCACTATCGTTCCGAGGTAACTATTCTCATTTATCTGTTTTTTCCATGCTTCTGTGTGCAGTATAATCTTTTTTTTTTCTTTTTGTTTTCGTTATGTTGATTGATCAATCTTTTATTTTCTTTTGCAGGTGCTAGTGGCAGACGTGAACATTGGATACGAGGACATTGTCAACAGTTGTTAAAGTTTGCTCTCCCGCTGAAAACTTATATGGGCTTTGGCGCACCAAGTACTGGGATTCAATGGCACTAATGTCGAGAACTTGAAGCATTTAGCAAATGTGGTGGAGAGCTGCAAAGAGGAGTTTGTCAAATTTGATCTCAACCATCAACATGTTCCATAGCTCAAAGAATGGAGTCCCGGTTCTCGGGAATATTTTTTTATACGTTATGTTATTTAGTACGTTAAGTAATACATCAAAATAAAATATTAAATTAGTAAGGATTTAAAAATTGCAAGCAACACAACTAATGAGATACACTTGTCCAGACACTAAGAATTCTTTTGGATTTTGCCGATGGAAACTTGTTTTAATTTGTGAGTTAGGTAAATGAATCTTCTTAAAGGTAAATGAAGCAACAAATTATAATTATATTTTTTTGGGGTATATGTTCTCTTTCCCCATCTCACTCCACCATATATCAGTATTTCCACTTTCGTGAAGGTTTGGGTGTGCTTGATATGGATCAAGCAGGAGAAGTTGGACACCACCTTTCATTGGTTATGATAGCTGGAATACCTCTATATACATCTACAAGCACAACACAGGAAGGGTCTACCTTTTCTGCAGAAATCCAAGCTAATAGGCAATTGTTTAATCTTGCATTCTACTTTTTTAGTGCACGTGACCTCACTCTACAATGCTATATAGCATTGGGAACTCCAACTACAAGGGTTTCTAACAATTTAATCCACGAAACACTAGGAGATACCATGGACCGAATTGCTGATGAAATTCTTAATTCTCGTCCTGCCCTTGGCTTTGTGATAATTGTTACTGATATTGGGGTGTTTGGAGTCTCTTACATGATTCGCAATTATGTAAGACCACACATTGGCACTAATGATTCAAGCAGGATTAATCTTCAATCTTGCAACCCTTTCTCGGCCATGCTTGTTAGTGGTACCAGGATTAACCCCTTTTCAAGGCTTGGTCCTGGGGATCAAATTCATTTAGGAGGGAATACACAAATTGGAGTAATCGTATTGTTCATGGATTACACTTGCAACTTGATTATCTACATATATACTACTAGCAAGTCACTTTGGACCTCTGAAACTCATGGATTTGGGTTCGATTGCTATGTGCTCATGCAAGAAGATGGGAACCTGGTAATCTATGGATCACTTGGAACATCATTTTGGTCAAGCTTTTCTTTTTGTGTGCCTTCTCCTACATGCATTGCTCCATCATTTGTTGCTCTTGGACCCAGATGCAGGGTTGGTGTGTATAGATATGGTGCTCCGGCAGTTGAAGTCTGGTCACCAGGTGATTTTTGCTAAATTCACATAAAAAGTGCTTTGAATAAATTTTAAAGAATAAAATGTAAACTAAACCATTGGAAGTTGTCTTGCAATTTTGCTAGTTTGGTAGAATTTTCTTCTTCCATGTGTGCCTTGGTGGATCGCCATTCTCGCGAGCGTCACCACTGGGCTTCGACGCATTCCTTGGCCGATGAATACTGTGCGAAGGGACACTACTTCTTTCACAGGGAGGAAGACTCGGCTTGCAAGGGAAAGAGGCTACTGGAGCCTTTTCGGTGCAGCAATCTGTGGATTTCGTCTCTTTCGAGGCAGGGAGAAGAAGGGTCGAGCACGCCATGCTTGCATCCAGCGCGGGTTTGGCCTATTTCCTTAGCAACTTATTTCGATTCGAGGTAAGCTTCTCTCTTCTCAATTCTTACTCCACAGTCTTACTTTGGATGCTTCTTTCTGCTTCCTATTGTCATCTCCGGGGCGCGGCCACTGGTCGCAAAACAATGAATGTTTTCATCTTTGCTGTATTCGAAAAACATTTGTTCTCTAGGCGATCACAGCATTGCTTCTTCACGTCATTGCTGGACTCTTTCTTACGTCGTAGGTATTTCCTCGCACAGATTTGGATATCTCACAGAACTTTTGGAATTCTTCGTCTAGTTGATGCACGGATTTCTCGGCGTTGCCATGGGTGCTTTGTTGAGTCGCTCGCTCGCTCGCTAGATTTCCATTTTCTAACACACTGCTGCTCAGATGGAGAATCAACTGGGGCGTCTCGATCCTTGCTTGTACACTGGTATGCACGAAACTCTTTGCTTTTGGCTCGATGTTCTCGCTGTCTAGAGTTGCAGGTCCGTGCTGTTGGAGCGATTGGCTTTGTGTTTCTGTGCTCTTGGCTGGTCAAGAAAAATATCTTCAGCTTGGTACAAAGAGATTCTCTTCTGAATGTTCCTCTTCTCTTGCAGATCACCATAAACACCCATGCTTCGCTCTCGTACATTCCTCGCTTACAATGCCGACCATCTATGCTGGGTAAAGTTTCTCCCAGTTTTAGATCGAAAGCTGACCTCTAGCTTATCGTGAACTGCGCATCGCTTGTTTTCCTCCTCCATGTTTTGTACGCGATTATTCTTCAGGGCCTGGGAATCAAGTTGTCACTGGCGGTTCCTGGCTGGATGTCGAGATCCATGTAAAATCAAAGGATGCTTACCCGGAATTCATCCTTTTGTACAGACACCATTTCTGGCGTTGATATAAAAATCGGGGATGGTGAAAATTCCAGCTCTAAGTTAGAGCACGTTCTCTCTGTTTATCAAGAAAGATGCCCAAGCCTCGCTTGAAGGAGCTACAGGATGAACCCAGTGACCAGGAGTTCGACTGCAAGGAATGACCAAACAAACACCACACTGCATCAAAAACTCAAAGAAGAAGATTTCAAAGTACCTCCCACCCGGTGCAATATATGTGTCCCAGCCTCTTCGAACCTGATAAGTACGAAATCCCAGGCGTACTCAAACCTCGCGTTCCCATGTCGATTCTGCTACCATAGTAGTAGCGGTAGAGGTCGGGAGGCAATCGTTGATCCAGTTCCTCACTTCTTTTCGTGTTACTAGGCTGTGGAGTTGCTTCTTTGATGGTATTTTCATCGTCCGTGGAAGGGTTCCTTGTTGTTTGCTCTTCGGCATTTGCAGGAAAGGCTTCAGCAGTAGCTCCGCCAGCCTGTCGCTCTTCTGCTTCAACTGCGGCACGGACGCTCTCCGTGAATGCATCATCATCCTCTGGGAATAGATGGCCTGTGAAAACAAAAGCAAGAATGTCAAAAAGAAGAAACCATAGATGAACGAAATGGTCCCAACCTGGCGTCTTAAGTTTCTGGATGCGAAGTGAACGCAACTCCTGGAGTTTTTCAACAACTAGCACCATTTCCATCTGCAAAGGAAGACGGGAAAAAGTGTAAGCGAGTACATAAACAGACATAGGCTGCACCTCTTTCTCCAATCGCAACCTCGCCTCCTTAACGGTTTTCTTTTGAGCAACATCGTTTATCTTTTTCCATCTGAGCAAACCTGCTGTCAAACAAGAAAGGAAGGAAGAAAGAATCTATCATACCTTCTTCTTAACAATGTCTCTTGCAATCTCACGAGTTCTCCATTCCTCCGCTTGACGATCGGCTTCCTCGAAAAGTTTGTCCGCCTAAACAACGAAGAATTGTAAGCAACGAAGCATAAAGCTATAGAACAAAAGAGAAAAAGAGAAAGAATCTAAGAACTTACCATTCTCCTCTTCTCGGCCTCGTGCTGCCTCTGATCTTGCGACGACTCTCCAATTTGATCCTCCTTTCCCGAAATTTTGCCACAGCAGTGATGCCGCATTTCCATCCACGACGCCTTGCAGCGGCAGGCGAAGCCCCTCGATCATGCCGATCGATCTCCCGCCGCAAATGCCGAGCTGCTAAATTTTCCCCCATCAATCTCTTCCGGACCCCGAATCCCATCGATGTAGTGCTTCCTCGCATGGAGGGCATTGCTAGCGCGCGCCTCTCCCTGCCCTGGAACGCCCTCATCCTCGGCTCGCCTTGCATGTGATCGATCGGCGCCGGGCTCTCAAGATCACTTACACGGCCTTGAGCAGCTCGAGGTTGAATCCATAAACCCTAAACTCCTGTTCCACGTGGAGCGATCTCAGCCGTTTGCTCTCAACGGTCGTGGTCTAAGGGATTGCATTCGCATCGAATGGAATTTCATGGGCACAACATAGTGCGCCGATTCACCTGCCTAGAAGCAAAGTGAGGTATGAAAATCTCAAATCTCTTCCAAGCCAGAGATTTCGTTTGGTAGTTAAAGGTCGTTATTCTAACAGGAAAAAAAAAAGAGGCTTACTTCCCAAGAAAGTATGAGTAACTGGAATCGTCTGCAAAGTAATCCCCCATCGTGAGTCAAGCCGAGTATCATTCGATCCTTGTTCCTGCCGTAGAAGACCAAGAGAGCCACGCACGACGAATACGGGGGACCTCTTCCAGATATTTGCTTCTTAAAAAGCACTTTCAAGTCTGGCTCAAGACTTAGCATGCTGACTGCTCGGCAGCTTGTTGAATGCTACTTAGCATTCAACACCACGTCCATTAAAATCACGTTGGCTCCTGGTTGAGGAAGATTCACCCCGGAGAAGTGCTCAGGCAGGACTTGAAATTGCTCCAATTCATGGAGGGAGCAATCGACAGGATTCAGTAGCATCGCATGAGAGAATTAAGTACCAATCTAGTGAGGGCTTGGTCACGGCAGCGGCATGGATTGAACAGAGGGAGATCACGAGGGCAAGAACGAGAGGAATCGCGCGCAACAGAGGGACAAGAGGAATCACTTGCAAGAACGAGAGGAATTGATTGTAGCAGAAAGAGAATGGGAGTGGAATGCTTACCGAGCCTGTGGGGGTGTAGAGCGCCACTAAATCGCTCCACCTCGATTTTGCACACAAATCTAGTGGCTCTTCTACAGCATCACCTTTCATGCCCAGACAAAACATAACAACTGTTGAATGGAATGGATCAAAGTAGGCATCATCACCAGCGCCGAAAGGATGAGGAGGATGAGGCAACACTCCGAAGTCCTGGTCTTCTGCTGGAGTTGCCGCTGATGTTGGTGTTGATATAGCCAGATTGCGGCCTGGAAGGCCTGTGCTTGTACTTGATCGGAGGCGAGAGCTGTAGCTCATGCAGAGCTTCTCCCTTCTGGAGACTTTTCAGCAATTCTAACTGTGCAGCAAGAGACCATCACAGTCAGTCGAGAGAAAAGAAATCACTAGACTCCCTGTTTCCACATTGGTTCCCGTGCTTCGTTCGTGGCATTTCCCTTTACGATCTTGAGGAAAGCTCCCATTGTTGCAATTTGGATCCATGCCTACCATGCAAACCGGGCACCAGTTTGACTTCGAGTTAGTGTCCTCCATGCAGCTCATGTGGACTAAAACACATGAGAAAAATTTGATCTTCCACAAACGTGTGACTACAGATGCTGCAGCTGGCAGTCAAGGGACTTAATCCATGGACACTTTCAGTATTTGAATGTCGTGAAACATGTCAGTTTCAAGTATCCGCCTTGCAGTACCCTGTAAGTCCTTGTTAAGAATAAATTGGCCGTGACATCGTAGAGTTGGTCATTGAAGTATTCAAGAGTTATACAGAAAGCTTGTAAGATGAAAAAAATTAGTTAAAGCACTGAAAGAAAAAAAACAAAAGAAAAATAGGTGTTTTACATGTTCTTCTTAACAAGGTGATGGGTTCTGTCAATGCAGATATCACGAAGTTAAAAGTATGGCGTGGTCAAGAAACATACTATAAAGTGCGGATATGTCGTCTCCTTTTCGTGTATAGACCAACGCGGACACCTGAGCAGGAAAATTTCTACAAAGCATTTTCAGGAACAATGCTAGGATGCCAGTCTTCCGCGGAAGATGTCCATATAAATTCAATGGAGATGTTCTTCTGTGGAAGGAAGATGTTGCATGTATGAAGTGATTGTCCCAGCCTTGGTTCTTGGCGCTGTGCAAGCGCCGTCATCCTAAACGAATCTCAGCTTGTACAGCCTCGAAGTGCGCATATCCTCTAACACAATTGAGAAATTTCCAACTCAAACACAGGTCATGAGTTCAAATTCTCTCCTTTCGCCTCTTTTATCCAAGTGAATGCAGTGGAGGACCACAGTGTGTGCTCCAAACCTTTTGTAGGAGTGTCAAGTGTAACATCTTCAAAACTTTATAGCCATTGTTCACTTTGCAACCTGGAGCATAAATCTGATATTGGGGCCACATATAGATGGATCATTACATGCACGCAAACCTTCCTAGACAAATGGATAAAAGAGGAAGAATTTGCACTGATGTGTCTTCCTGCATGTTCTATCAAGAATAGAATAAAAAAGAACATGTCTAATCAGAAATTTATAAGTGGTTGTCAAAGTTTAACTTTATTAAAGCATTCCCATTTGAATACAATTAAGGATACAAAAACAAATTACATACCATTAAGTACAATTTTTGTATTTCCAATAACTATGTACAAGCACCATGATAAATATAAAAAAAAAGAACAAATCATTTAATGTGATTTCTAAGTATATAAGAATATATATATATTTTGTGTATGTTTTATCTCTTACTATCAACAACTAGGGAATTTAATAATATGTTGAAAATTAATAATTTGAAAGGGAATAAATGCAAGTTAGTTTCTATAACAACTTTTTTATTTGCCAAAGGTTTTGCAATTTAAGTTAGTTATGAAGCCCTAGATTTCATTGAGCATTAATGTAATATATTTATTTAAAAGAGTTTTGATTACTTTTCTTAAATTTTTAAAAATAAAATATGTTAATAAAAATTCTATTTTAGAATGAAAGATGTACATAATTGCAAAGATGCCACAAAGTGGAAATATATATATTATTTGATAGAATTAACTTTATTATAGTAAATGTTAAAAGTATTAAAAGCCTTGTATTGTTGGTGAATCAAAATGCTTGCATAATAATCACAAATTCAGTATAAATGCCAACATTAAAGTAAAACACACAATCTAAATTAGTACAAATTTTATTATAATATATTATTATCTTTTACTTTATAAAGAGATGGACATAAGCTTAAAAATTTTATAAAGACTAAGTTTAAATATAATTTATGGAAAAATTAAATAAAAATTAATGAGTATTTAGAAGCACACAACTTGATTTTAGTTATAAAATTTTAGATCCGTTTGAAATGTTTTGAAACTATACATTATTTAATATTTATATGGACATATAAAGAAAGGTAAAACTTAAAAAACAATTTGATTCTTTATTAAACTTTGAAATTTAGGTTTTCAGTGATGATAAAAAAATTAGTAAAGATTATAATTTTCATGAAATTTTTCAAAAATTAATGGTATTTTAGCTCTTTTTATTGTATTTTATGATATTTAAGTATTGTCATCATGTATACACACATGATAAAGTATGATACTCATCAGTTATATGGTAAAAACTAACTATAGTATTTTTAAAAATAGGTAAAAATTAGAGTATAAAAAACTTTGACAAAATTAATATTTAAGTTTATATATTTTTTAAATAATTTTAAAAGTTAAGCTTAGGTTTTGCCTTACCCAGTGTAATCTTCCATAAGTACATGCTATTTATTTGGCAAGAAGAAGGAATGTTTCACAAATCGCAAATAAAGTTTTAGTTTTGCATTTAAAGCTTTAAAACTTGAAGTTTCCCTTTCAATTGAGATTAAAGAGAGAAATTATTTTCCATAATAAAAATAAATAACTTTAATGTATATTTTGTATTTTTATAGCTTATACTTGTAAATGTATTAAGTAAAAATCAAACATTTTTACTTAGAAAAGAGTATTTTAAGTATTTTAAATATTTTAATTTAATAATATATAAAAAATTTACTTAAAATTTTTATTTATTGCAAATAATTTAGATAAAAAAGACAATTAAAAAGCTGAAAAAAATATAAATTTGTTTTAGCTAAGAAAAAATAATATAAACATATCCAAAAATAGTTATGTTAAGTAGCTATAATGGATAAATTAATATAAGATTTGACTATAAAAGGATCTTTTGAATTTGCCAAAACAATATAAAATATAGTGTATATGGTTAAATGGTCTATATTGATCCTCCTTTCCCGAAATTTTGCCACGGCAGTGAGTTGCTCCCACGCCGCAGTTCCATCCACGGCGCCTTGCAGCGGCAGGAGAAGCCCCTCGACCTCCTGCCGCAAATGCCAAGCTGCCAAACTTTTGGCATCAATCTCATTGCTGTTCTTCCGGACCCCGAATCCCATCGATGTAGTGCTTCCTCGCATCGTCACTGAAGAGGAGGGCATTGCTAGCGCGCGCCTCTCCCTGCCCTCATCCTCGGCTCGCCTTGCAGCGATCACTTCCAGCTCCAGAGACCCGGCGCCGGGCTCTCAAGACTTACACGGCCTTGAGAAGCTCGATACTTCCCAAGAAAGTATGAGTAACTGGAATCGTCTGCAAAGTAATCACGAGAGCCACGTACGACGAATGCGGGGGACCTCTCCCAGATATCTGCTTCTTAAAAAGCACTTTCAAGTCTGGCTCAAGACGTAGCATGCTGACTGCTCTGCAGCTTGTTGAATACTACTTAGCATTCAACACCACGTCCATTAAAATCACGTTGGCTCCTGGTTGAGGAAGATTCACCCTGGAGAAGTGCTCAGGCAGGGCTTGAAATTGCTCCAATTCGTGGATAAGGGAGCAATCGACAGGATTCAGTAGCATCGCATGAGAGAACTAAGTATCAATCTAGTGAGGGCTTGGTCACGGCAGCGGCATGGATTGAACAGAGGGAGATGACGA